ACATCCAGTGGGTGTTATTGGACCCTATACCCATTTTACTTGTGGTTGGAGCCCCATACCCATTCTATGGGTGGTTGGAGCCCCATACCGATCCTGTGGGTTGTAGTGGACGCCATACTCATCCTGTGGGTGGTATTGGACCCCATACCCTTCCTGTGGGTGGATGTGATCCCCATACTCATCCTGTGGGTGGATGTGACCCTCATACCCATCCTGTGGGTGGTATTGGACCCCTTTCCCACCTAACAGGCGGTAGGTGACAATATACCCATCCTAGCTATAGTTGGTATAGTAGACACAATACCGTCCTGTTTGCAGTAGTTTGCCCCATAGACATTCAAATGTAACATCGTTTTCTGTTAGCGTTCTTACAAAACATCCTTTAAAGATTTGTAAAGCACAAACTATGGTATATAATATTGATTGGTGAAGGACTGTTATTCTATGTAATAATTTTTAGTGCTTATTATAATTTACTAAGAACAACTAATATTTCTCAAAACAAAACTACGAGCCTTCAATAGGAAGTAGCTGATCTGTAATATTCTAAGAGCATGGACAATAGTAGGTAAATTTCACAACCCATGTGGGACCTGAAAACTAAAATTTTCCTTATAATTGAACCAATCACGAATATTCTGCTATCTATGTTGACGGACGGGTACTGTGACACGTAAATTGGTACGTGAGGAAGAGTTTGGGCCTTGGTAAAAAAAGTAACTGGGAATATATCACATATTTACTAATTCATATTCAACATATTGACTTTAAGCATTAAGTCATATATGTGCTGTCTTGTGTGAGAACGGGTTGAAATATCAGTGATTCAATGCTGTTCACGATGTTCACAGTGCTAGCCACAACACCACAGCATTATTTCGTCCATCTAGGAATCTTCAAACGACTTCTTAGGATCCTTTTCAAAATAAACGCGTGGTTAATTATTCATTTACAGAAATTAGTGACGAGGATTGTGGTTATAATTAGCATTGTGTGTAGTATTGTGGAAGGAGGAATTTTGGTGAGGGAGGGAGGGAGAGAATTGAGGTAGCCTCACTGTGTGGCAGCCACTCTTGTTTTGCTCACCATACTAGCTTCGTGGTTCGCTATGAGGAACACACATGTACATGGGTATATACAGTGTGTGTGTGTGTGTGTGTGTGTGTGTGTGTGTGTGTGTGTGTGTGTATATAGTGTAATAACAGCAACAGGGGTATGTTGAGTGGAGCTATGTTGGTGAGGGAGGTGACGTCGTAATTGTAGCGTTGTCTGCTGTGTGATTTCTCATGCAGTGTATGGTGGCCACTGTACTGTTTGTACACAATACAGGCTTACTTGCATAGTTCTGGTAAATACAACATGTAAATAAGTATATATAACATGTGTAAATAGTGTAATAAAAACAATAATTGTATGGTGGGAGGAGCAACTGTATGGTGGGAGGAGCAATGTTGGCGAGTAAGATGTTGGAGTGAGGGAGGGCCTGTCTGGGTGTGGCTACTCACACTCGTGATGTTCTGAATATGTTGATGGTAAATGTATATAGTGTGTGACAGTGTATAGTGTGTACATATGTTGTAAATATACATAAATGAACATGAAACATTGGTTTGAATAACTGTATGATGGGAGGAGCAATGTTGGCAAATACAATGTTGGAGGAGTTAGGGAGGGCTGGCTGGGTGTGACAGCTCACATTCGCGGTGTTCTGAATGTGTTGATGGTGAATGTATATAGTGTGTGACAGTGTATAGTCTGTAAATAGATTGTATATATACATAAATTAGCATGATACATGGTAAATATGTGCAACATATGTGTACACAAGTGTCATGCACGTAACAGTGTCCTCGGACAGTACGGATGTTTTACTGCCATAATATAGTGTACGTGTTCATTATACAAATAGGATTAGCACGTAAAAACAAATAAAATGTATTTGGAACTGTGCACAAAAAATGAACAAAAATATATTCGCGGCAACTCGCGTGACCCGCCCTGGGTGCCCCATCGGCCCCGGGAGCTTACGGCACGGGCGCACGGGGAATGATGACATCACGTGCCACCTTACGGACCCCATAGCAGCCAAAGTAGGTACAATTTCGAAATTCCATTGCTATACCTATATACAGGGAGGGGTTTTTGACACTTTCAGATCAAAAAAGAATTGTTTCTCGAGATTTTATTTCTTGCGCACTGGGGGGGTGTCATATTTATAGGCCGCGCAGTTAAAGGGTTAAACCCCCCATGCCCGACTGTCGACCCAAGACATATTACCAAAGACAGCAGCAAGACCATCATACTTCCTCACATCATGGGCACGAGGGTAGACTGCAGGCTGGCTAAACTTAATTACACCGTGGACAACCTGAGACACACGAGCCCTGGAACAGGTAACCAAGGAAACCAAATCCACCCAGAGCACGACCACTGTCACCGAACCAGTGGCCTGCAGGTAGTGACGTGAAGTCTCCACCAAACACAACACATGATGCACCTCCGACCTAACCAACCACAACCAACGGACCTCTCCGGAAGTCTGCCATCTCATTCTTTGCCAGAAAAGAAGGGGAAGGCTGCAAGCTAACAAAATGATCAAGCGAACGGAACCCCCGGCGCTGGAGAACATCATGAAGCTCCCCAACCCGACCCCCCAGAGGCCAAAGCCAACAAAAACAAGGCTTTCCCAAAGCAGTCTCAAACTGAAGGGGCCACAACAAATCGTGGAGATGTAAGAAAGGAAAGAACCCGGTCCAAAGAGCAAGGTGGCTCAGGCGGTGCATGAGCAGGCCAAAGGTGAAGAAATGCACATGAGAGCTTGGAGAACGGAACAGAAGTGACATCCAGTCCAAATGCAAGCTGCAGTGGCTCTACCAATGCTGCACAATAAGAAGTGACAGTATTTGTCATAAGATGCAAGTCCATGAAAAACCAAGAGAGAAAGGGCAACCATAACCGACACAGACGAAACCTTGCAAAGAGAAAGGAAATGGCGGAAAGACCGCCAAGAATCTTCATACTGTTGCTGGGATGAAGACCTCAGGTCGGATACCATCAAAGAAGCCACCTGTTCACCATACAAATGGCAGTACACCCGCATCAGAAAAACCAGATGCAAAGAGCGGTAGAGTAAATCGAACCAGCGAAGTACCTCACTGGCCTGACTTGATGAAAGAGGCGGAGCTGCAGAAAAATTCCCGGGTTCAGACGCCTTCGGTTTCGTTCTACGACGTTCGGTTCGGTGCCTCCCAGCGCCTGAAACCAAAACTGGGCCAGCCACCATGGGGCCAGGAGAATCACCCTCTCATGATAGGATTCGAGCCAAGCCAGAACCTGGAGCAACAGCCGCACCCAGGGAAAGAGGTACAGTAAACCCCACCGTGACCAGTCCTGCCAAAAAGTGTCCCCTGCGAAAGCCTCGCAGTTGGAGAATGGCGCCATGTACAATGGGATATGCCGAGACCACGCCGACATGAAAAGGTCCACCTCCAGGTGCTCATACGTCCGACAAACCCAAAGGAAAGAGGCGGCGTTGGCTGTCCACTCAGTGGAAAGAGGAATGAAGAGCGACAGGTCATCTGCCAGGATGTTGTACACTTCCTGAATGTGAACGGCACTGAGATCTAAACCCCAAGAACTCAGCAGAAGAGCTACCTGAAGCGACCAACCCTAAAGAGCCACGGACCGAAGAGCCCCAGTTGAGACACGGGGAAGCAGTCTGAATGGAACCTGATAATTGAGCCCCGAGGAAGATGAATCCATCGCAGGTAACAGGCGCAGTCATACACCAACACCGACTGTACTGAGGATTGAGTACCTTCAGGGGTGAGGAGAGAAGCAGAGAGACAGTATGAAAATGACATTGCGAGTATCTGCATGTTTTGTTCACCATAACTGACCTCTGAATTGGTATGGTGAGTCAAAAAGCAACGACAAGTGGCTGTCCCACCAGCCAGCCAGCCACTCGCCGCCACTCCCTCCCTCAACAACACCTCACTAACCAACATTCTCCTCCCACCATACTGTTTTTGTTTTTATTCACTATATATAGACGTTATATATAAGTATCTACATGTTTTATTCACCAAAACTTTAAAACTAAGCTGGTATGGTGGGTTCAGACAATATAAAAGAGACGTCGCCACACATAGAGCTGGCGGCTGCTTCCCACACTGGTTCAAGGCCAGATGCTCTATTCTCCCCAACAATAATGTTTGTGGTGTTATTACTCTATATACACACTATATATATAAGTATCTACATGTTTTATTCACCATAACTGTACAACTAAGCTTTTATGGTGCCCAAAGAGCATAGTGGCCACCCTCTACACAGCATGGCTAGTCATGCAGATGATGCCACCTCCGTCACCTAAATGGCTCCTCCCAACATACTCCTTTTGCTGTTATTACACTAATACACACGTTATATATATAAGTATCTACATTTGTGTTCACCATAGCGAACCATTAAGCTGCTATGGTGAGTGCAGACATCAGGTGGCCTACACAGATTCAGCAGACAACGGTACCTCCCTCAGCAATACTCCTCCCCACACAGTGCTAATTATCACAAGAATTCTGCTATTGTCACAATCCTGGTCATTTTTATCACAGTCAGGGGTCTTCTGTAATACTGTCATCACTAAATAATAACAGTTACATATTAATTTTGAGGTTTTAGGTGATGCTGTGGTCACAAGCCAAACAGCAGTTATGTTAGCTCATGCTGCGTGTGCCAGCCTTGGTTGCTCACACAGTACTGTGGCTCTCACACCCGAGAATATTGACCATTTTTTTTTTTCAACATGGTGTCTGTTGACAAGAGTCCTGAGGAAGCTGATGTGAACCCTGTGTAGCCGCTGGCCATTTGAATCGTGGCAGGCACCCTTCCTCGTATGTGTATGCCATGTGCATGGTGGGATATGTTACTCTGATTGAATATATATGCCATGTGCAGTTTAAAGGTTAAAAGAATGTTACACAATATTTTTGTTACAGAGAAGGCGATCTTCGGGTTATTCGTCCTTTTGTCTATGTACGAGAGAAAGATTTGAGAAGATTTGCAGAATCAAAGAAGCTGCCAGTTATTCCTGAGAACTGCCCTGCATGTTTTGAGTCACCCAAGGTAGGTAACCAGCAGGAACATTTGTAAGAATATTGACATTAATTGTTTTATACAGTAGCTTGGGACTCGGTACTGGACTGTAGCTAAACACAAAGGTGGCCATGTTTCTGAGCGGAGCTCCGTCGGCTCCCCGGAGTTATCCAGGCAGATATGTAACTATTAGCTTTTTGGCATCAGTCAAAGTGCATGGAGTTCTTGCCTACCGGGAACCACAAGCCAAAACCTGGGCCCCCCTCAGAGAGGAGTGAGGAGCAATGGTCTATAGAAACCCCGTGTGGTGGGAAGCATTTTGTCTGCCATCGACCGGGTCTGGCACCCAGAAAGGTAGGTGCCCCAAAACAAACCCCCTTACTGGTGAAAATATTGCTACCGAAAGCTAAACAATTGGACAGAACTCCTCAAATGAAAAGTAGCAGACTAGCATGACATCATCACGTCGCCATGCCGCTGTCTGCGCAAACCCCACTCCCCGGGAGGGGGAAGGGGGAAGCCCCAGACCTCCCGCACCGGCGATCCAACCGGCAGTTCTTGACTGATGTGATATTGGCTGGTCAGGTGCCTCTGGCTGTGATTTTTGTTTCAGTTACTGTGCCTTGTGGAGTAGTTTGTCTCTACAGGTGGTGTGTAAGCTAGGAGTAATATTCTACAGTACTCGGGCTGCATGCATCTGGGGTTTCCTGCCCTAGATGCCCAGTAAGTACTGCCCTTGGGGCTTTGGGCCACCTTCCACAAGTCACCTTGGAATCTACCTCTGCTGTGTCTTTTACTGCTCGGTACTTGGCTGCCCTTGGAGTCAGCTGGCGTTCTTGTTGCCCTTGTTTGCCTCTGGGTAGGAGGTAGTTTTCGTCACTGGTAGGGGCACGGGGTACTGCACAGCTAGTTTTCACCTATTATAGCAGCCGGCTCTGTTCCGCCTGGGAACGTTGTCCTCTTGTGGGGGTTTTCTTTTGTTTTTGTTTTCCTGTCAGGTGAGGAGGGGTCTGCCTTTTTGGTTGGTTGCCCCTGTTTCTTTTAGGGTCCTTCTTAGCCTTTGGTGGTTCCCTCTGCTTGGCCCCCATGAGTGGAAACGTCCCAGGGATTCAGCTGTAGAAGTTTGCTTGGTAGTTTTGGGCACCAAGTTCGCAGTACCCTGCCTGAGCTTCCTTTAGCGTGTTACCAAGGCTAAGGGCCCTGGGAAACTCCGCAGGGGCTCTGTGGTCCGATGGATGTGCCCCTTGAGTCCCTTCTCACTTCGTGCGAGGTTGATGGTTGCTCTGTCCCCCTTGTCTCAGGGTGACATTCACTGGTTGTGCCTCCACCATGCTGCCTGTTGGGTCAGTGTTCTTTTGACCAGGAGTCATGCGACGTTGTTGTCCGTGCGTGTTCCAGTTCACCCTTATTCTTGATTATGCTCTGAGGGTGCAGGCAGCAGCTGCATTGCATGCTGCTAGGTTCTGGTTGCTGCAACGTGCTGGATTGGTTGCTTCTCCGGATGCCCCGAGACCGCCCCGTTGTGTTTTAGGAACCTGTCTTTACGGGTGGCAGTCGCTTTGCCTTTGGTTTCTTCCACCCTTCCTTTTCCCCTTCTGTTGTGCGTCCGGTCCCCCTCCCTGACTTTCGGCTCTAGCCCTTCCGCGGGTTCGGAGGCGGGGCAGGGTCTAGTTAGTGTTGAGACTCTGGTGGTTTCAGGGGTGCCCCCTTCTGGGGTGGTGGCAGGGGCATTCAAGCCTATTCCTCCTGCCGATGTGTTATGGGTCTGACGAGTGGGCCCCCTTCCTTAGTGTTTTTCGGCTACCCCGGCTTTTTCTTGTGAGGCCTGGGCTTTGCGGGGGACGGCTCGACTCTGGGTCTTCGGTGTGGTGTTCCCGGGGCAGGGAAGGGGTTGACTTGGGGGCTTTGGTCTCTGCTGGATCCCGCATGAGTTTTTCACCGTGCTTCTCATAGCACCAAGCCCTCGGGGCAGGGCTTGGTGCTACGAGAACGGGGTTCTCTTTTGCTCCCTCCTCGTACAGATTGGTTTTGGCATCTACCCTTCCCGGGGTTCGGTTCCGTGATCCCGTAGTTTCCTCGGTCCCATTCTCCTGGAGGTTTTCAGCTTCCCGCATCCCGTCACATGTGGTGCGGATAGCCCTTGCGGCTTACCTCCTGCGCGACCCTGATTATGTCTTCGTATATGGATCTTCGTGTTCATCCTGGGTTTGTTATGAAGTTCCGGAGTTGTCCTGGTTAGCAGACTGCTCACTCTTCTCGTTGGAGGCTTGGCTCTCGTTCTGTTGGTCTCGCACGCTTGGTTGAGGGGAGAGGCTCCGACGGTGTTACAGGTTTCCCTGGGGGGCGAATTTGAGTGTGTGTCTGCATTTTGTTCACCCCTGCCCTTCCGTGGGATGTTGGTGTGATGCAGCTTCCTGTATGGGCTCCTTCTTTGGCTGCCTTGGTCATGGGGGCTTTACGTATCCATGGCCTGCTGGCTTCGACTCTGCATTTCTTCTCCCTCCTTGGGCTGTCCTTGGATTGGCTTGAGTTGGTTGGGATAGAGCTTGGGGCCGCCTCTGGGTCTGGTGCATTGCCCTCGGCAGTGCGTGTGTCGTCTGCATTATTGAAGCTGTTGGTGTCGCTCCTGCAGGATGCGGTTTTGCGGTTTTTGCTTCTCGCCTTGCGTGTCGGCAGGCGGTGCTTGCTTATTCTTTGGAATCTGCTTGGACCCTGGCTCTTCACTTGTCTGCTGCTGTCTGCTGAGTCTGCGGTTGTGCAGTGTCTGCCTGTGGCTTCGACTGGTTGCCGACATGTGTTTGTCTAGTTGGTTCTACTGGGGCTCATGAGCCCCCGTAGAACCAACCCTGGCACAACCCTGGCACAACCCTTCCCGGAAGGGTTGTGCCAGGGGGTTCGATGTTCTTCCCGTCGTGGTAGGCCTGTGGTGCCAGTTTTGGGGCAGGCTCTTCGCGGCGCACAGGGATCACCCTGTGTGCCACTTTTTTCATAAGGTGCATTGGCCCTTTCACAGTTCATCCCATTGCTGGGGCGATGGGAGGGGGGGGGGGAGGCTTGCTCTGATCGCTCGCGCCTGGTCTCACGATTTGTGGGCCTTTCGGGTCGTTTCGTGCAGCCTACAGTGGCAATGGGTGGCTCCTCCTCCTTCAGGGGGTTCGGGCCTGGCAGAGGTAGACCTCTTATCCTGCGCTCTGTTGAGTCATCTCAGAGTGGGTTCACTTGGGCGTGGTTGAACCGACCACGTCTCTGAGGTGGGTTTCCCACCTGTTCCTGTCCCGAAACGAAACTGCGCGGACCTCCGGTTCATTCTGGATTGTCCTGTCTGAACCCGTGGGTTTATTGCCCTTCCTTTCAAATGACTACTCTGTCCCAGGTCCGTCTTCTGTTGGAGCCAGGCGCTTGGATGCTATCTCTGGACCTCAAGGACGCGTGTTGGCATGTCCCGATTCATCCGGGGTTCAGGGACTGGCTTGGTTTTGTTGTGGGGCGTCACGGTTCCTGTTTTTGTTGCCTTTCATTCAGCTTGAATCTGGCACCTCACGTTTACACACACCTCGGCCATGCCAACGTAAAGAGGCCCACCTCCGGGAGCCTGTACGTAAGGCAAAGCCAACTGAATGAGTCGGCGTTAACCGTCCATTCCGTGGACAGGGGAATGAACCGGACAGGCCATCCACCATGATGTTGGACAACTCCTGAATGTGAACGACCAGGAGAGTCAAACCCCAAGAACTCAGCAGACCAGTCACCCGAAGTGAACAGTCCCAAAACGCCAAGGACTGCATCAAACCCCCGCGGTTCAGACAATGAACCACCAGGAAGCAGATCTAATGGAACCGGATTGTTGATCTCTGAGTGACCCGAACCCTCCGAAGTGCTTGTCACACTGCCGCGAACCCACCACACCTGACCGGCCTAGTGAGCACTGGTCACAAAGCCCCAGCCAAGAGACGACCCGCCGTGAACACATCGAGCGAGGGGCTCAGGTAGGCGCCAAGGCACTGAACCCCAAAAAACCCAAAGTGGAAGCTGGCAATGCAGCAGCCGATGCAAGGCACCTGGTTGATTGGCTGGCACCCAGAGGCTGAACCCAGCAATTGCAAGAAAAGCGGAAGGGATGTCCCTAAAGGAACCAGAACAGCCGAAAAAGCCAAACATGACCCGGCGGGTAGGACATCACGGCAAAATTCAGACTCGCGCACAAACCCTCGAGCATCCGCCTCGTGACTCCGGGAGCCCCTCAGTTATCGGTGAAGACGAGGCTGCAGCCGCAGCAGAGCCGCTGGAAGGAGAGACAAGGACATGCTCACCCTCCCCATCACCACCCACACGCACCCTCCCCATCACCACCCACACGCACCCTCCCCATCACCACCCACACGCTCCCTCCCCATCACCACCTGCACACACCCTCCCCATCACCACGCACACACCCTCCCCATCATCACGCACACGCACCCTCCCTGTCACCATCCACGTGCACCCTCTCTGTCACCATCCACATGCACCCTCTCCGTCACCACCCCATACGCACTTTCCCTGTCACCACCCACACGCACACCGTCCCCATCACCACCCACATGCACCCTCCCCGCCATCACGCACACGTACCCTCTCCGTCACCACCCACACGCACCTATGGGGAACTGACTTGTGAGATTTATATTTATTTCATTTATATGAATTTATAGAGAATTTATATTATATGTTAATTTATATATTTCGATAGCAAATTGTATGATAGTTAAAGCGGACTGTATTTCTTTGAATTCCCACAAATTGATCTCCTTACACATTATGGGGGGTTTATAGATTTATATATGTAGTTAATCAAATTATTGATTAGCAGACATTCACTACGGTATTAGACTACATATATATAATAACTAAAATGGGGAGGCCTTATCTTATTGTAGGTAAGTCTGGTCCACCAGTTATGAACAAGGATGATCACACCAAATAATCCACGTGTTTGAGGTTGCCATCAACACCATGTACTGGTGTACCAAGTAACTGTTCTGCTTCCTCTT